GTGCTCGACGGACAACAGCCGGACGGACTGTCGGGTGGCTTTGGGAGACCTGGACGGGCAGCAGCCGGACGACTGTCGTGCTGGCATTGGGGGACAACTGGACGGGCAGCAGCCGGACGACTGTCGGGCTGGCACTGGGGCACGACTGGACGGACGACAGCCGGACGACTGTCGGGCTGGCATTGGGGGACAACTGGACGGGCAGCAGCCGGACGACTGTCGGGCTGGCATTGGGGGACAACTGGACGGACGACAGCCGGACGACTGTCGGGCTGGCATTGGGGGACAACTGGACGGACGACAGCACCCGGCTGTTGTGTTGTGGGTGGCGACATGGATCTGAACCCGGTCAGACTCGGGCTCGGCTTCAGAGTCAACATGCTTTGAATCTCTGAACCCAGTGAGGAATCGTGGACTTTGACATGATGCTGCTGCTTTGTAAGATGCTGCGACAAAAATCCGTGCCGAAAAGAAGTCGCAGATACCACAAACTATCTTTGTTCGGCAAGTGGTTTGTTTTGAGTAATTTATTCTTGTGTGCTTTAAAACGCATCTTTTCCCATGTCAGCAAATATTTTTAGACAAATAGAGGAACGTGCTGCACTTCCGCAGCCTCTGTATAACGTAGTGGGTTGGAATGAAGACAAGCGTTTGTTTTATGTCTTTATGTTGTTCCAAAATCAGATCGTGCCGACTTGTTGACGTCACTTAGAGTAATCGGGAATATATCAGAATCCTCGTGGCCTGGTATACCCCGTAATAAGAATCGACGTTTAGACTTCATCCGGTTGTTAAAGGGAATGTTTTCATTTGAAGACATTGAAGCAAGCATCATATATAATGAAACAAGCTCGCTTATAACTATTAGTATACTTTTTAAGAAGAAAAGACTACTCTGACAGCACCATTCTCTCCTTAGTGAATATGCTCCTCGGTGCGTCATGATTTGACTACGTCATCCTACCTTGCGCAGCATTTATTGAGGGCCAATTGACGGCCGTTTCATCTGGAAATCGCGCTCACGATGCCAGATATGAACGCTCTGACAATAACATTTTCTTGGCCTTGATCGCCGCAACGGTCATGAAATGACAGGGTGTGAATAACGTTATTATCACGTAATCATGCCAGGGTGACCTTGAAACACTCACCAATGCACCTTTCCACATTTCGCGGGCGACTAGCCTCAGAACTTTGGCTCAACTAGAGTTAGGACAGGCGTCTAGCTCAGAAGCTAGAGGAGCCTAAGCCTCAGGAGGGCAGTATTAGGAACAGCATCGAAAGGTTTTCAAGATGGCTATTTCAGCTCAAAACCCGATATAAATGTGGAAGACTCCCTTAAAAGAGATGTTATCGTAGGGCCGCGTTACCTTTTCGATATGTGTGCACACGACGGTTATACACGCGACAAATGTCTGTTATGCAACGATATCATGCGCTGACTTTGGCGCCGATCGCCTCCCTCCACAGGTAGCTGGAAGGCTTTTCGGTAACTGACTCCAGGGCCACCACAGAAAAAGCTCTCCTCTCCACAAAAAGCTTTTAACATCCGTCGCACCTCATCGGCACTTACAGGTCGGGTGTGAGCCGCTCCTCCAGTCCCAACCGTCAGAACGGAGCCCTGGAGGTGGGAGGGGAGCGCGGCTACATGTGGCAGCAATGGCATGTGGGCATGTGAGAGATGCGGGGCCTCTCTCCTGTTCAGTCAGTTCAGAAGCACCCGAAGGGAGCAAAATCGGACGATGGTGCGTTTGTCGCCAGAGGCTGTGGAAGTGGGGTGGGGGGGGGGGGGTAAGTTGGCTGAACTAAATCACAGATGACCGGACACGCTGTTCAAGATCCGACGTAGCCGACAGCACTGCTCCAGAACTCGCCTCGCCGGAGCTGCCTTCCCGGAACCGGTTCCGGTCAGCCGCAGGCCGTGCCAGCCGGCCCGGACGCCCAGCAGTGACCCCGTCATCGCCCGAGGCGAGAGCGTGACTCGCCACATCAAGCCCGAAGATGACACCGGTTTACGGGAGCTCGGCGATGCGTGGCCACGCCACCAGCCAACCGAGTTATGAGCGGTTGACATTCCGCGGGGCTGTTGCTCGGGCGTGGGGCTGGCGGTCCGTGGACGCGGCGGCCAACGGCAGCCGTGGGACGTGGCAGCCGACGGCAGCCGTGGACGAGGCGGCCGACGGGTAGCCGTGGAGCTGCGGGCCACGGCAGCCATGGACGTGGCGAACAACGGCGGCCATGGACGTGGCGACCGACGGCAGCTGTGGACGTGGCGGCCGACGGCAGCCGTGGACGTGGCGGCGAACGGCAGCCGTGGACGTGGCGACCGACAGCAGTCGTGGACGTGGCGGCCGACGGCAGCCGTGGACGTGGCGCACGGCGGCGGCCATGGACGTGGCGACCGACGGCAGCCATGGACGTGGCGGCCGACGGCAGCCGTGGAGTTGCCGGCCACGGCAGTCCGGCGCCTCCGACCGGTCATGGGCCGCCAGTGCATAATGCATGGCGGCCGGCTGACTCGAGTTATTGCAGAAGTGCATCATATGGCAGTGCGGTGCGGCGGCAAGTTATGACGCGCTCGGCGGCCGGCCGCGAACAAAGGGCGGTGTCTGTTGACCCGTCCGGTAGAGTGCTTGCCAGATTGCGGGAGTTCCCTGGGGACTGCCGTGTCCGACTGCAGGGGAATCACGTACGAACGGATCGAAGGCACTGAGCGCCTTAAAAATCCTCCCTAACACAATTGAAACTTTGTGCTTGTGTATTTTTCCAAGTTGCGATCAG